GGGTTGCTCTGAGACCCATCTCGCTGGGGTCTTTGTCCCTGGATCAAGCATGTGGGATCCAAGAGCCTCATCCTCCTGGCAGGAGTGGTGGTTGTCCTGTTTGCAGCAGGCACCTTCCCACCCCCCCTGAATAGCCTGCACCCTGTGTAGACTCCCAGGCTCCCGGTGCTCCTCCTCAGCCCCCAGGCATCTGCTGTGAACTGCCAGCGGGGTGCTGAATAGGAAGGTGCAGGTGGGCTAGCCTGGAAATGGCCTTTTTTCCCCCTAAAAATAGTATTCACAGCTTCAGCCACGCTAGGAGAAAGGTGGGGAAAGTGAATCCTGGGCTGTGTGTTCCTGAGCAGTGGCCCTGGGCCATGTAGCACAGTGTCTCTGCCTTCCTGGGCCCTTGCTGGCTGGAGCAAGGTCTGGGGAACCAGGGCTCTCTCTTCCCTCTTGATTGTGCCTGGCTTATCTCGCCAAGGGGCAAAAAGGTTGAAAATGTCTCTCTTTTTCTGCAAAAAATAGATATTTGACATGTTTTCCATCACAAGCCCAGCTACATTATCTTGCACTTACATATCAGTGCCTGACTCAGAAACAATATGACTCTTCCAAAAAAAGAAGACCTCCTTTCTGTGTATTTTGGGATGTTAATCAGCTTCAAACGCAAGTCAGAATTCTGCCTTGTTCTTGGGAAACAGCAAGGACATTGCCAGATGCTTGTGCCAATTGGAGCAGCCTGGGATATATTTTATTAGATGTTTTTTTGTCACACAGTCAGTTCATCAAATGAAATTCTCTCCAGGAAAAAATCTGAATTTCTTATTTCCCACAAGAAATAATTGTGCTTGGAAGGGTTGAATCCTGTTCGGGTATTTTCTACAGAGGAACTCATGTTTTCTTCACCATTTCTCTTGTTCTGAAGTTTGAACTGGCTTTGGTTACAAGTGTCACCATCAAAACAATCATTCCAGATTTCTTGAAAGGAGGCAGTGGATGGACTGAAGCAGCTGCTCCTTCCCAGCAGTTGTCTGGGATCAGACATGTTTTCCATTGAATGTTTCCCCTGAGATGAAAGGACAGTTTCCTGCCCTCCTGCTGATAAATTATGACTCGTGCATATTCCCCGTGTCCCTCTAGTGAGGGTGATGGGAACTGGAGCAATACGGAGGCCAGGGTTAAGGCTGCTGAGCCACGATGCTCCTTTGCGGGGACTAGGTACTGAGGCCTCCTCTTTGCCTGCAAATGCCAGCACTGAGAATCCCTGCGTGGATAACGGCGCTGCTCCCTAGGGAGTGGTACAAGCTGCCTCTTGAAGGCTCAAAGACTGTCATTTATTCAGTGCCAGGCGGCCTGCATGGCAGAGTGAGGTGGGTTCCCACGACACTGGTGCAGCGGCAGCCCATGCTGTATGCCGGCGCTGCTGGGTTTGGCTGCAGGGACTGCTGCCCCACTGATGGGCTGCCTTGCTGGAGCACTGGGGATGCAGGCATGCCCCCAGTTTCCCTGCTCGCCCTCCATCACGCCACCTACTCTCTCTTCCAG